TGCAGGGGGAGGGGAGAGACCTTCAGCTTTTTTTTAAAGACCAGATCAGTATTTTCTTGATACGCTTGTCACCATTTTTGTTCTCACGACAACCAATTGAGCCCTTGATCCTCACGTGATGTGAAAGGCTTGCACTGTAACAAAATCGCTCCTTTTAGATGGTTGGTTGTTGCTAACTCGCCCATCCCCCTCTCCCAGCCCCGACATTTCCAGCAAAGCGACTCTCCACTTCCAATCCATCAACAATTCATTACTGCTTTTAGCTTCCAAACGCCAGCTAATTAAAAATACTAAGCCAAGCTCCGGGGCCATCTGACTAAACACAGGAGGGGGTGGGCGAGAGAGGAGGGGGAGAGAAAAATAAATAAAAGGGAGACGCACCGTTTGCTGCGACTATCAATGGGAAAAACTGTCCTGAAAAAGGTCGCCTTAAAAAAAAAATATTTTTTTTTGACTCTAATTATCGAATTACCACATGACTGATTGGCTTGAGCGACAGCGGATTTCCCCCCTCCCCCCCCCCGGGACTATACTAGGAACTCGGTTCCTTTTTCTTAAAACAACATAAAACAGGAAAACATCACATCCTTTGGGTTTCGAAGACCGAACCAATTTTAAACGCCGTTATTTTCCTCACCCCACCGCCCACCGCCCCCGGCCCCGAGCGAATGCTGTTATAACTGGTTTATCAGCTCACTGAATCATCTGCTCCCCTCCCCCTCCACACCTTTCTTTTTCTCCTTTTGCTGGGCTTCTCATCCTACCCTTTCTTCCTCCCCCCTCCGCTCTCCTCCCCCTCCCCCTCCCCCCTCGCCTTCCCCCTCCTTTCCTCTTAAGTTAGTTCAAGAAATCAAATCTGTCAGGACGGGCGGAAAAATGCCACTTCCCGACTAACAGGCGGAATCCAGCCCAGATTTTCAGTCGTTTCTTCTTATTCTTTCTTCCCTTTCACTAATTTATCCCGATGTTAGCACATTCTGTCTTGTTACTAGCGGACGCCTGTAGGTTTGCTACATGGGATCATTACTTACTGATCACGGTGACTCTGAAGTCTGGAACTGAAGGCGGAATGAGAAGTTGGGAAAACTTTTTTCTCTAAGCTCTCTCTCTCTCTCTCTTTTTTTAAAACCTATTATTCTCGATGCTTGTTAAGAGGAAAAAAAACCTTTGGTACTTCTGTTGTGAATGTGAAACATTATCTTCCAGCTGTACAGTGACACATTTTTTTAAGGAGAAAAGGACTCCTGATCCGTTTGCCAAAAGGGGGGTGGGGAGGTGGAATAATGTTATCGAGTGATTATTCTGGCTGAGATGTGTTATTTGGTTTCTTCCTTCTTGATCATTTGGTGTTTAAGTAAAATGAGGCACAGGCTTGTTTGCCGAGTGGAGTGGGAAAGGCATTTTGATTTGCTGGCCTAATTAAAAAATGATAAAGGATTAAAGGTAAGCAATGTCTGTGTGTGTGTGTGTGTGTGTGTGTATTTATTTATTTTTCTCGACAATCAACTGTTAAAAGGGGCTGATCCCTTTAAAAACCGTTTTAACTGATCTTTGTCAAACACACACTCATTTGCGGTCATTGAGGCCACCTTGGCGCAGACTACTTAAAGTGCATGTCTTAATCAGTTTCCCCGTCCAGTCAGTAGCACCATATTTAACAAATTGAGCAAGTCTGTGACCTGGGAATATGGTAGAATTGTTTATATGTAATTTTTTTTTCCCTCAAAAGGCAGGTATTCAGCCTTTTATTTAGCGCTGTCTTTTTCATAGAAAAATGCTCTTAAAGACATTTGTGTGTGTATTTCAAAAATAAAATGGTATAAACTGTTGGGGAAGAGAGGGTATGTGTTTGGGGGGGTTAGTTATTCGTTGTTTTTCCTGTTCCTTACTGGGAACAAAAAACAGATTGCCCAGACGATTTGTAAAAAGAAGTAATAAAATTAGAAATAAGGAAAATTTAGAAACATCATTCTGAAACTAGCCTCAGAGAACTTCCAGGGTCTGGTCTTTGAAACTGCACGATCTAGGACATGTTTGGGGATGTTTAAAGCTGTGTTCCTCCCTCTTGTCTGAGTGTTTAGGCTGTGTTTCTGGGGTTGAGATATCACATGTATGAGAAAAAAAAAAATCCTAAACTTTTTTTTTTAACCTTCCTGGACTTGACACAGATCTTTAAGATATCTTAATGCCTTTAAAAAAGTGCTTATCCTTGTGCTGTTGGTAAAGGGAATTTTTTTTTTTTTTTTTTTAAAGCTACTGTTTAGATGCTTACTGTCGTGGGTAAGTTTTTTGGGTTTGGTTATTTTCCTTTAAACCCGACTGTGGAGACAATATATGAGCCACCTTGCTGTCCATCCTTCCCTGTACCCCTTACTGACTCCCCAGTATTAATCGTTTTTTATTCTGGTAACACCCAGACAAGAAATATTCGACTTTTCCCCCCCCTTCACAGGAAAAGGTGGACCTGGACTGAAGGGTGTAAAATCTCTGGACACATTCCTGGGGCAGGAAAAAGAAGAGGAAGATTAGAAGATTTTTTTTTTTTTTTTTTTTTACGAGAAAGCCCAGCGGAGCTAAACGAATGTCCCCTCATCTCCAAAGGAAAGTTCATCGGATTTTTATTCTAGAGAGCTCATCTTCAGGATGTCAGTGAACATTTCTACTGCAGGAAAAGGTGTGGATCCAAATACGGTTGATACTTATGACAGTGGTGATGATTGGGAAATCGGGGTTGGAAATTTAATAATTGATTTGGACGCTGATTTGGAGAAGGACAGACAGAAATTTGAGATGAATAATTCCACCACCACCACTAGCAGCTGCAACTCGAAGGATTGTGGAGGTCTGGCCTCCAGTGGGGCCAGTGCTCCGGCCGCCTTAGCCGATGGCCTAAAATTTGCTTCTGTTCAGCCCTCTGCTCCCCAGGGGAATTCACACAAAGAGACCAGCAAATCAAAAGTGAAAAGGAGTAAAACTTCGAAGGATGCTAATAAATCTCTGCCTTCGGCTGCCTTGTATGGGATTCCCGAGATCAGCGGCACTGGCAAGAGGCAGGAAGTCCAAGGGCGCCCTGGAGAGGCCGCTGGCATGAATTCAGCGCTGGGTCAAAGTGTGAGCGGCGGCAACCCCAACAGCAGCAGTCCGGGCACGGGGCCCTCCGCTGCCACCGCGGGGGCGGCCTCCTGTGGGAAGAGCAAAGAGGAGAAGCCAGGTAAAAGCCAGAGCAGCCGAGGCGCCAAGCGGGATAAGGATGCGGGGAAATCCAGGAAGGACAAGCACGACCTGCTTCAGGGCCACCAGAATGGCAGTGGCAGCCAGGCCCCTTCCGGGGGGCACCTCTATGGCTTTGGGGCCAAGAGCAATGGAGGTGGCGCGAGCCCCTTCCACTGCGGGGGCGCTGGGAGTGGCGGCGTCGCGGCTGCTGGGGAAGTTAGCAAAAGTGCCCCGGATTCAGGGCTCATGGGAAACTCTGTGTTGGTAAAGAAGGAAGAGGAGGAGGAGGAGAGCCACAGGCGAATCAAGAAACTGAAAACCGAGAAGGTAGGATCAAGTCGCCTTCCTAGATTGCCCACTTTCCTCTTTGTGTGCATCTGTGTGGGTGTGTGTTGTTTGGGAGCGGGAGCGGGGGGGGTGTGCCTCTGTGTGCCTCACACTTCTTCTTCGTGCTTCCTGGTTCTTTGTGAGGTTTCTGTTGTGTGCATCCTTTCCGTGGAAATTTGGAATGGGGGAGCTGAGCTGATTCGGGTGCACTGCTTTTGGCTCTTGCTTCTCCTGTGGCGGCGGCCAGCGGCCGTGCTCAGTGTTTGGGGTCCCCAGGTGGGAGGGCCTGGGTGTTCCAAGGGGCTCCTGGCCAGTCGGCTGGTGGTGGTGTGCTTTTAAGAGCAGACCTGCTCGTGTACCCGCTTGACTCATGTCCTGGTTTCTCGCCCAAGGAGAGCTGTCTTAGGTTTTAATATGCCCGCCCTGGTGATTCTGGTAATGTGTCCTTAGGTGCAGGGTGCACGTTCCCTCCCTGGAAGAGGTTAGGTCGAGGATTCTCATGTACCCTCTTCCCTCAACCTGTTTCTTTTTTCGGGACTTTCTCCAACAAATAGTTCTGTCAAAGGGTATCCTCCTTGGATGGGTTCCTCTTACAGGTCCTGAATTTAAACCCCAGCCTTGGCGTCCTGGGGTCATTGGTTTCTTAACTGTGTGGAAAGACTGGAATGGTTTCGGTGGTTTCTAGGACTCTCTACCCTGGTTCCCTCACCCGGTTCTTAGCTGGAGATTTCAGGATGTTATCACTTGAATTTCTAGCTTGCCTAGGGAATGGAGAGGTTGGTAAGAAAAGTGAGAGAGACTGGGCTGATGGGGCTTCTTGAGATGGGGCAACAGCTAGAGGGGATGAGAATCTTGTGCGGCATTTGGGTAATGGGGGGATCCTCGATTTAAGCAACGTGAACCCTTCCTGCCATCGCTGTCATTGTCTTAAGGTCTAGTTAGAGACTGCCTTTGAAAAAGTGCACCTTGGGGGCTGTGCCGTTTGGGGCTCGAGGCCTGTGACTTACTGGTCTGGTGACGGTCCTGCGTTGAATAGTGTCCCAGGACGGAAGGGGCTCTGTCCACCGGGCAGTTTGGGAGTGAGCTGGGGGTGTGAGTAATGTTTTTATGAAATCAGCCTTTAGGTTAATCCTGCGGGTTGTGCTTCGCAGAAATAAAACTCATATCCTGTGGTTTATGGCATGGTTGTTTGGAAATCTGCTTATTAAATAATTCGATTTCCGCCCCCTCCCCCCCCCAATGTCTGACTTGATCAGAACTGTCAGACGGCTTTGGGTGATTATTTCTGTGGCCAGTTATTCACTGCTCTCTCTCCAGACCTTTCCATTTTTGCATTCGTGGGTTCAAGATTTAAGTGGGAGCGCAGGAAGAAAGTTCTGATTTTCTGGTCTTGGGAGTTGTGGAGGGTCCATTAAAGTGCGGATGATGCCAAAATCACCAAAAGCCTCCGGACGCTTCTTTTATTCATACACCTTGGGTCAGACAGCTTTTTACACTGACGAATTGAAATGCATTTTTAAAAATCCCAGGTTTCGATTCTTCTATTTCCTGGTGTAGTTGCACACAATTTCTGCTAAAAGGCGTTCTGAAATCTTCTTATTACTTAGTACAGTAGGGCATTTACTTTTGTTGCCAATAGTCTTCAAATTGCACTTCTAATCTGCTCTAACTATCTAGATGAATTGCCCTAATCCAGTGCTCACAATGGCTGTGGTTAAGGAGTCAGAAGCATTTGATTGGATTCACTGCTGCCTGGAATGTGGGAGGTACTGCCCTTTTGCATTCCCCTTAGCCTTTTAATCTTCCAGCCAAATGTTCACATTCAACAATTTTGTTTAGCTGGCAATCGGAACATTTCTGTATCTCAAAGGCTGCTGTCATGGCAACTGAGATTAGAGCATGGTGTTGGTTCTCCAGTTTTTGTGTTCTTTTCACTTTCCAGTCACAGAGGAAACTGGATAAAGAATGGAGGAATTAAATTATTCATATACATGCAACTCATCTTCAGTCAGAGCAGTATAAATGTGATAATACGAATTACATAAATGAAGAGCAAACAAGTCGTGATGGGGCCGGGCCGGGGTGGAGGAGGGGAGGAGGGGAGGAGGGGAGGAGAGGAGGAAAGAGCTCAGCGCGTTTAGATGCAGCCCACCGCCCTCCGCCAACCCTGGCCACTGGTGTTGGCACAGGGGCCCTTCAGGGATGGCTCCGAGGGGCTTGAATCCTGCAGCGTTGGCCGTTCTCGGTCAAGCAGGGCGGTGCTGGCTCAGGAATGCTGTTGCGTAGGCTCCCCTCCCCACCCTCTCCCCGCTCCCCCCCCTCCGCCCTCCCCCCCACCCCTGGCCTCCTTGCCACCCCAAGATGGCACTCCCTTGCACACATGCCACCCCCGGGAAGTCACTCTCATTCCACTAACGCATGGATGGGAACATGAGACCTCAATTTAGGGACTGCTCCCTAACGAGAGGAGGCTACCTTTTTTAAGGAGGTATAAGCAGGACGCGCTTTACCTGACAAAAGTATTTCCACACTGAGGCATCTTGTGAGAGAGGTTTTTTTTTTTTTTGACGTTTTGTATAATGTTTTAATTTCTGCCTTGCTTGATATTCTGGGTGGGTGAAGAGTAAGTGTCTCAAAAGTGAAGATGATTAATTTTCAGCAATCAGATGTGGCTCATGAGGGGCCCAAATGTGAAAACCCAAGGAGGTGGGGTGGCTGTGTGTGCGCTTTTCTTCTGGGTTGTTTTTTTTTTTCCTGGTTGAGAGGTTTCACGGGAGATTCATAAGACTTGCTGTCACCGGTTAATTTTCACAGCATGCTTAAATGTCTATTTTTGGTCTGTTTATTCTGTTTCTACACTACACAAAGTCATGTAAAACATGATAAATTGGACCTTATGAAACCTAATTAAATCAATGAGTGTTCTACTCCTTTATGTGGAAACCACAAGTATGTTGTAAAAGTCGCCACTCCCTTAATACGTGAACAAAATCAAAACATGCCATAATTCTAAGATGTTTGAGCTGTATTTCTGTAGCCCATTTTGTGGTTAAGCACCAGTGACATGTCTGAATAAGGAGATTTGACGGGTTGGCTTTGGGTTGTTAAAACCTGCTTCTCCACCTTCCCCCTCCTTTCTTTTTAAAGCATAATAGCCTGTATGGAGGCTCTCCTTAATATCTTACAGTTTTGACTTATCAGACACAGGCACTTGGGCCGGGCTAAATAGGGTACATGGTTTTATTTGATCGCCGGAAAATTCTCAACGACATAGGAGAATTCTTAAAAACACCTAATACTTAAATAGACATGAAAGGCACAGGAGGGCTTACAGTTGGGTCTCAGGGTTCTGACTACTCAGTACATATTCAGGAAAGAGAATTACTTCCCTGATATCATATTGCTTTCATTAAGCCAGGCCTTAACAGACTAAAGGTGGTGTCTACAAATGGACCTGTCTATAAGGGATATAATTCATTTTATTTTATTCTCTTGGAGAAGGCTTTTACACTTCACTAGGGAATTCTGCCACATTTTCTAAGTGAGTGTGAGCCGTTTAAGAACATATTTTGATTAATGAGTTTTGTGGACAATATGCCTGCCTCCCCTGCCTCCACGCTGCCCCCCCCCAATCTGGTGTCCCCTACAAATTCTGCTTAGAGAGTGCAGTTTATCTACTGTGAAATAAAAGGGCAGAAAGGTCACTTGCTATAATTAAAGAACAAAGTCCATTGTTGTTGGACAGCAAACTGTTTTGAAAGCTACAGAAGGGATTTAGCGGTTAAAAACGTTGGTAACTGAGGCTGGCTCCCAATCAGCGTTGATCCTGCTCCTTACTTTTCAATAAGTTGCCTGGGAGGGTGACAGGGCTTTTTGAGGTGGATGCAGAGGCCATCTTTTCCCTGAGCAAGTTTTCTGTGAGAACCCAAGGAACTTGGGAGGATATGTGTGGCCAGGCATATCACTGAGTCCTGAGCATAGTATTTGAAACGTAGCGGTGTGCTGGAGAGATGAAAAAAAACAAAAACAAAACACACACACACACACACACACATGATCAAGATTACGCTAAAAGGAGATGAGTAATGTTTAACAACTTTTAATAACTTTGCAAATAGTCTGGGAAAAAAAAGGGAGTGGGGTGCGGAGTCATTGTCCAAATGTCACCAGGTTAAGAATGCTCTTCAAGTGAAATTGCTTGGCCGCAAGATGGTTTTAATTAGCGTTATAAAGACTTATTTTTCCTAAGCAGCGTTTTATAGTTAGTAAATGAAATGTATGCCGAAAGTGCTAAGCAGAAGTCTCCCTAACCACAGAGGTGTTCAATAACCAGATTCAAACAACATGGAAAGTACCATCTGTTCTTCGTTTTCAGCTTGAAAAACAAGGATTGAATGGCTGAGATTTGCTTCAATTTTGACTGTGTCTGTGCGTGTGTGTGTTTTTTTAATTTAAAAAAGTTCACCTGGTACTTCATAGAAACTTGAAATTGCAGTAATATGAGCAACACTGTGAAAACACATGTTCCTACATTTATTTTAACCAGTTCCACTTTTCTTTTAAAAGATTTCCAGAAGCCCAGCCATTGAGCACTTTATAATGGTTATTCAGTTCCTGCAGGCAATCACAATGAGGGGTCAGTTCTTCAAAGATCACACTGTTCAGTCGGTACCTGAAGGCTCTCCCAGGCTAACTCTGGTCAGCGTTTATCGGGTAATCTAATTGTACGTGATCGCACGTTGGACTGCTGTTGACTCTCTGTAGCTCTCGCTCTCCTTCAGAGCTGCATCTAGGATGGTTGATAATGAGGAAAATATTCTCTTCACGGTGGTAACTTTTGAGTCCTTGACTTTTTAGACACTAAGCTTGGTTCTGGGTTTAGTGAGAGCCCTGGGTGAAACGGTATCCGGCCTTTGTTTGAGGTCTTTTATAGAAGCTAATGACTGGGCTTGTGCCTCCTGAGATAAATGACAGTATCTCTGAGTGGGCTGACAGGAAAC